GTCCATGCCAATAAAGTCACAGAAATACTGGAGCATGACAATCAGAAGAGTAGTCGACACAGTGTAGCCGTTATGAATCGGGCAACTGGCGAGTTTAGCGTGACGAGCGGACACCGTGAGGATGGTAGACGCGGGGGCCATCGCCATGAAGTTTTGGTAAATTTCAGGACAAAACTTGGTGAGTGCTCATGCCAGAAGTATCAGGGGGAGAGGGTGGCCATGTTCTCATGCAATGGCTGTAATTAAAAACAGGAGCAAAGACCCCCGTCACTTCGTCAGTCCATTCTTCAATATCGACTCACTCAAAAATTGCTATGGACGGAGTTTCCGTGCATTGGTTGATGAAGTTTATTGACTGGTGTACTCAGGAAAGTTGATAATCCCGTCGTTCGGACAGAGGCGTGAACCGGGTCGACCGAGGAAAAAGAGAATTCAGAACGAAATGGATCAAAGTGGAAGACCACAATGAGGCCCAAGACGATGTTCAGTATGCAGAGTTCCAGGGCATGATAAACGAAGTTGTCTAGGTCCGATTGGTCCGCAAAATCCGGGTCCTGATGTGGGGGACTCAACTAATGCGACACAATTTGCGGTTTTTATTTGTTGGTACTTGTTATGTATGTTTTCAATTATTGTCGGAGTTAGAGCTATGATGCTTGGAACTTTCGTGTTTGGCAAATAACCCTCAATTAACACTCAAGCCTTAAGTTAACACGATCAAAATAGAGAAAGTCAAGTACTTAGAACTAAAATAAAAACTAAAACAACACTCGATTAAAGAAACTAAAATAGGAGGGAAGGGTTTCAAGTACATATAATTAAAACTTAACTAAAAACAACACTTAAAATGATAAAACTAAAAATTCATCTCAAGGAAGTCCCTGGGACTCATGGGGCTGCAAGGTTTTCTTGCTCCTTGTACGACGGCTAACGGGAGTAACCATCGGTGGTTGCGGTGGCAAGCTTCCATGGGTCATGCTAGGGCGCTCGTCGGTGTTGTGTCGGCGTCAATCTGTGGTATGCGGCGCTTTCGGGGTCGAGCGGGGGACATCGATGCTCATACGGTGCGGGGTAGGTGGCCACGGCTAATGAGGGCGAGGAATAGGATTGAAGTTGTGATGCGCAGTCGTGGAGGAACCATCATGCCAAGTACCCGAGGATGTGGGGGGTTCGTTGAAGAAGTTTGGGCGGGGATCATAGTATGGTGGGCGAGGATCATAGTATGGTGGGCGGGGATCGTGGTATGAGATCGGGTAGGGATCATATGGGGATTGATGGTAGCTCGAAGGGCATTGACGGTAGCTCGGGCGGGGATCATGGTATGAGCTCGGGAATTGCTCATGATGGTAGGTCGGGCGGAGATCATGATGGGGATCTTGGGAGTGGCTCGGGCGGGGATCTTGGGACAAGCTTGGGCGGGGTTCTTGGGAGTGGCTCGGATGGGGATCTTGATGTGAGCTCGGACCGCCATCGTGTGCCACAACCAAGGGAGTCGGCACTCTCCACGCCTCCAACGGCCTTATCTCGGGCACATGAGGTCTTTCCCGAACCTTCTTGCTTTTCTTTCTCTCGTATGGTGGTGGGGGGTGGGGGACATCAACTTGTACCGGAGGTGGCACCGGTGCGGGCATGGGTGGGTATCTACGATGATCACGACCCTGTGCTCTGATACAGCCAAGCAGACTGTTTGTCATCCTCTTGATGAAGCTCACATCTTCATGTCCCATTTCATGTTTCCCATGGGTCAACTCTTTGATCCGCTCGATCCCATCAGCCTAAATCACATAAGAAGGTTAGCAAGATAAGACTAATGATGTGACAGAATGAAACAAGCAATAAATTTAATCTTATTAGACGAAATATACTTACCAATGCACCATCGACCGCACCCTCCAGAGTCATGTACCGAACCGATGTTTGCCGATATCTATCCATGTATGGGTCATGATGCCCCATTCGACCCACACTTGTTGGAGTGACAATATCATGAAGTTGTCGGTTCTCCCATACCGCGATCATTTCCGCCAACTTCGTGGGCTAATCGTCAGTACCTTGCCGACCATCTCGATGGTGAAACGCCCTTTGACTCTCGGGGATCTCCAACGAAATGCACTGCTCCCGACCAAACTGACGAAGGCATCGATCCGGAAGGTGCCACTCCACGGTCCCTAAACAATGAGAGGGACCGTCGTGCACCATTGTCCGAAATTCTCGGGGAATTGCTGTAAATGCCATTGAACGATGTTTGCCGGGTAAATGCCAATGAATGATGTTCGCTGTAAATGGTGCTAGTTTTGTAAATTTTGTGGGCTGGATGCTGTTTTTGTAATTTTTTTAATAGGTGCTATTATTGGAAAAATCCCCCAATAAAATATGGTAGTCTTAATAGAAGTGTATTGAGAAACTATATGAGGGGTTTAATTAGATTTTGGTACTCTAGCAAATTTACATTATGAGTGCGTTTGGATAGGTGTATTTCAAATGTAAGTTATTTGAAATACATGTTTTTGAAATGCATGCATTTGAAATACATTTAATTTAAATTCGTTGTTTGGATACTCATTTGTATTTTGTTTGTATTTTAAATTAAAATTTTTTTTATTTCAAATTGAAGCTTTTTGGTGACTTACTACAAATTTTGGTAAACTACAGTTCGGTACCCAAATTTATTTTTTCTCCAAATTTAGTACCTAAAATTTTTAAAATTTTACAAAAGGTCCTGAAATTTTAATGGTAAAATTACATTTTGATACCTTTATTTGTTTTGCTTCACACTATCTTACCTAAACTTTTAATATTTTACAAATAGGTCCAACTTTTTGTTAGGAGGTATTTAAAATCACTAGTTGTTGAAATGTATTTGAAGTTGACAAGTAATACACTAGACATGTATTTGGAAATCAACCCATGAATCTGGCACAAATCCATATAATAAATATTATTAATATTCAAATACATGATTTGACATTTAGAAATCAAAATCAGAAATACCAAATACAAATAATTCTATCCAAACACATCCTATAATAATTGATTGAATCATTGAAAGATGTTTCTAATAAAAGTTGTTTTGTTTCCAAGACTAATAAATATCTCTGCTGTAGCAATCTGCAATTTCTATTACTTGAATTCCGGGTTCAAATCCCGACAACGGTATTATTTTTAGTTCTTACAACCTATTCTCATTATGCTTCAGCCCATTATCTGTCAGACGAATCACGACCCAATGTTTGCCGACATGGATGGGATATGTCATGTTGACTTATGTTGGGAGGTTATTAGTCATGTTGCCTTTTTTTTTTTTTTTTCGTTGCATGTTCGTGCATTCAAGAACACTTTGTATGGCATAGAGAAAGGTTAGTGTTATGTGGATTTTCGGCCACACAATGATTTGTGACTAGTTATAGAACGAGATCGAGAAGAAGTCGGAAAGGGATGATAAAGAATGGCTACTTTAACTCAGGAAGAAAGAAAACTAAATCAAATACGACGGCTCAAGATAGGGTGAGTAATCTTAGGGTGAGTAATAATGAGTAACCAAATCTGGACCCTTCTTTTAAGTGACTGTAGATCTAAGGGTGGAGAATTAAAGGAATTTATTTTCCCTAGTTTTCTTAATTGGATCATATCTTCTTCATTCTAACTCAGATTTTAATTTTTTTTGCACAGATGGAACGAGTTCGTTGTGCTCTACAAAATTATATCAATTTTCAATATTTTTTGAGAAAAAAATTTCATCCCTCTCGTTACCAACTCCATACCATATGGTATCTCCTTCGTTGTTTAGGCCTCGTTTGCTAATGGGATTTGGAAATGAGGGTTTTGGTCTAGATTTGGGTTTGAAAACCTTAAGGATTTATAATGGATTTGATACATTGTGTTTTTGTAAAGTCTCTTGTTTGCTATATAGATTTGATCATGGATTTAAGGGTTAAAGATTTATGACTATAAAAGGTAGATTACCACATAGTCCTTCTTTATTTCTTTTACTATTTATTTATACCTTGTTATTATTAGCAGCCTCATCGCAAGTTTTTCCTTTGCAAAAGAAAGCCTCCACCTCCAGCTTACCCTGCTCACATCTCCACCGCAAACAATTAGCATACCTAGAGGTGTGGGAGCCTTGTGATAGCAACGCAAGTCTTCCTTTCACTACAAGAAACTGCACTTTTTGCGACGAATTCTATTGCGACGATACCAAATTCGTCGCAGAAAGTGAATATTTTGCGTCGAATTTTGTTTTTTTGTCGCGCACTGTGTTAACATTTTGTGGTAAGTGGGGTAAAGGTTTTTGCAACGGTCATTTCTTTTTCACGACGACTTATTTCGTCGCAGAATGTTTAGAGACTTTCTGCGAGGATTAACAACCGTCGCAGAATGTTTAGCGACTTTCTGCGGTGATTGTTTGTCGTCGCAGTTTGTTGAAGACTTTCAGCGACGATTTTCTGTCGTCGCAGATTGTTTGGAGACTTTCGGCGACGATTCTCTATCGTCGCAGAATGTTTGAGACTTTCGGCAACGATTTTCTATCGTCGCAGAATGTTTTGGGACTTTTTGCGACGATTATCGTCGCAAAAATGTTATAGATATTATTCGGCGATTGTTTGTCGTCGTAGAATGTCTCAAAATATTTGCGTATTAAAAATTTTAATATTTAATTATTTAAAAGTGGGAGACACAGTATGCATGAATTATTAGTTTATGAATACCTAATGTACAAAACTATTTGAAGAACACTTATTGCATTAAGTATTTGTGTATTTCTTAATGAGAGCAGTTAAAACTATACGAAACTCTTGCTTATCAAATAATTGAATGAGTGCAGTTGGTTGTGTCACTTGTCCAGAATTTCATCGATGAACTGGTCCCGTGTTCGATACCCCGAGCAATCAGTTTCATTTTATACGTTATATAGAATGAGGGGCACTCTTGTAATTGCAAACTCACATGGGCAGTATATAATAAAAAATTCAACTGTGGAACACCAATCTCATTGAACCCTAGCCGCACTTTCTTTCTTTCTTCCCTTTTCTCCTCTCGGTCTATCTTTCCCTTCTTATTCCTTGCTGCATCTTCCTTTCTCCTTCCCTTTTATCCTCTCGGTCTATCTTCTTTTCTCCTCCCCGGATATGAAAGAAACGATCAGAAAAGCAACTATCCGGGTAGGGATTGGGCATACATGTGTGTTTTTTTTTGGGGGGTTTTTTTGTTCAAAATGGGATTCTGACGTTTTTCTTTATGGGTTTTGGTTTCGAACGAGGGCGGAAGAAAAGGGGGTCACGTGGTGGCCTCGGGTGTTGACGGCGGTGAAGGGATCGTCTTCCAGACAAGTAAGAAGAGGGAGATCTGGGTAAGTAGAGAAGCGAAAGAAAGGAGAAACCAGATCTGGGTAAGTAGTCGATTTTTTGTATATCTATTTCGACTCTAGCTGCGTGGAACAGCTCTAGATGCGCCTGGACGAACAGATCTGCTATTCCGAGTAGAAAGCGAAAGAAAGGAAGAAACCAGATCTGACTTTGATTATTTTTTTTTTTTACTTCTCTTGCGTTAATGCTTTTGTTTGATTCAATTTGTTCGTCTTGCTTTGATTTGGTTTTTTGTTTTTCTAGAGAGTTTCCGTAGTTTGTATTGTATTTACAAAATCTGACCTTATTTTCTTTGCAGGTTTGACATTCGGACTTTGCAAATCTGGATTTTGGATGAGGAGTGGGTAGTGTAGTTATTTTGGACGAAATATGGAATTTTGGGTTTGATGAGGTGGCGATTTGGACAGAAAATGGAACTTTGTAAAAAATTGTGACCTATTCTAAAATTATCCTAAAAATAAATTGTGACCTATTCTGAAGTTAACCCAAAAAAATTGCAAAAGCTCTAAATGTAGTCTTCGTCGAGATTAACGTTTCTGCGACGGAACATCCGTTGCAAAATAACCCATTTTACTGCAACGAAAGTCTCTCGTCGCCAAATAATCAATTTGCGACGAAAGAGGCGTCGCAAAATGAACGATTTTTAGCGACGACTCGGTTTTTTATTGCAACGAATGCTAAATATTTGTCGCAGAACTTTCTGCGACGCTGTATAGGCGACGAACACTTTTTCCTTTCTGCGACGGAAAAATTCGTCGGGCAATGTTTCCGCGACGGATTTTGGACTTTTTGCGACGAATTGTTTCCGCCGCAGAAAGTATAGTGTCTTGTAGTGTTTCATTAACGGCTACAAAAACCCTCAATCTAGTGGCCGGTCGTGAACACTACCTTCTCCTGTGATGGCTGGACTCGAGTAAATCTCTTTCTATTCTTCTCCATCCATACGATGATTGACTAAGATGGTTGATGCTCGTGCGAATCAGTTGAAAGGAACCTTCAATATCTCCATGCTCTTCGGCTCTTCTAAATTAATGGGTGAGTCTAAGCTGTCCAGATTGACAAATGTTTGAGGCGAGTAAACTGGATCTGAAATTCCACCTGTTACCCTTCCTTGAGCTGTTCCGCCTTCGCCAAATATCTTCAGAAGTTCATAGTAGTGTGGGAATGGCTTCTTGTTGAGGTTCTTGATGTTTGGATGCACCTAGAACATTCTCAAAATGGTTATTCGAGCTGCTATATCAATTATAATAAGCTAAGCAATGAAATAATGACCTTACCTTCATCAGATCATCAAACACATCATCCTCCACCATTGGTGTTAGAGTCAACTCATCCCACCCATTTCCACCCTTTGAACGCAACAAGTGTACAACACTAAAATCCCTTTTCAGCTTCCTGTGCCTCGATCGAATATTTGGATCAACCTTGACCCCGCATCTAGGAACCTTCTGGTGCATCATGTTTTCAAGTTCAGTAAATTCTCCATTCTTGAAGTTGCCATTATCAACTTGATGCTTCTCGACCAGCTCTAGCATACACTGTATTAGTATAGCATCAAGAGTCTCGGTCCAAGAGAAGTAAGGACTCTTTGGCTGAGGGGGGTTAGCTTCTTCTTCTTCTTCAATCTTGATTTCCTTTCTCTTCCTGCCCATCCTATGCAAAAGCCAAATAATAGACAAACATAATATATAACCACATAGAAATCAACATATCCATCAAACTGAACAAATACACATATATAATCACCACAATCAGTCCACAAGAACAAGTAACATAACACATGTTCTACTGTTCAACAAAATACAACAAAGCAAATAATTGGAACCTTACAATAGCACACATCCTACTGTTCAGCAAAGTATAAGAAAGCTAATAATTAAAACAAGCAGATAACATGGTTCAACCTCAAAGTACTTCATCTTCTACCACTCCTATTTGACCAGATTTCTTGTGATAGCTTATCCCTAAAGTAAGTCCATTGGTCCAAAGGCTGAACTACAGATATTACATCCTCAATGTGCTCGGCATAGGCAGAAGGATACTGCTCAGGTTCAATGTCCACGTAATCCCTCTCAAATGTGTCAACACCTGCCTCTCTTTTGATAAAATTATGCAACAAATAGCAAGAATTCACGATCTGGACCATCACTTCAGGGGAGAACCAACTCGCATCTCTTAGGACAGCCCATCTATTTTTGTTGATACCGAAAGCACGCTCAATAATGTTTCTTGCACCGGCATGCTTCATGTTGAAGTATTCTTCCGCTATCTTAGGGCGTAATCCTCCCCACTCCTTGAGATGATACCGCTGCCCACGGTATGGTGTTAAGAATCCTTCACAATTGCTATAACCTTGATCACACAAGTAATACGTGCCTAGCAAATGAAACCAATCAGTCAACTCTAGACGCAATTAATACACTTTTATGTTTTTCGTGACATGCTTAGCCTGCATTACCTTTCGGAACCCGCAACCCATTTGGCCTTAGCAATGCATCTCTAAGCACCTTCCCATCATGAACTGAACCTTCCCAACCAGCTAAGCAATATACGAACTCGAGATTTGAATTACAGACCCCCAAAACGTTCATTGAAACAGTCCCCTTGCGGTCTCGATATTTAGACTGGTCTTCAAGCCTTACACGGACCTTGATATGTGTCCCATCTAGTGCCCCTAAGCAGCCCTAAGGAACAAAACAACTTTATTACACTAATGTTGAACTTTTTAGCTATACATAAAGAAAATAAAAAGATGCTTTAGTCACCTTAAAGAATTTCCACTTTGCATCATCGGAGTTTTCTGGTATAGGTGTTGGCTGGGGTATTAGGATGGGATGGAGTCGGAGAATAGAACGAATGATCTTATGGAATACTTTTGAAATGGTTTGGCCCGATCTACAGAAATCTTGTTGTAGGATCCTGTTCTTGACGTTGTGTCCAATTGTGACCAAGAAAATCATCACCATCTCATCTATGTCTACATCATCCGTACCATTTAACCCCCCCTCACTGACAAGTAATTCACACAACTTCCTAAACAAGGTTCGGTTCATCCGAACCTTATGAATACATCGACTATCAGAAAGTTCAAGCATGCGTCTCATATAACGCCTCCTATCATGTTGACGATCAAATATGTTATCTAAAGGGGTATTCCGAGGTCTCCTAGGCTCTAATAACCTTCTCAATACCAAAAGCTCAAGCAATTGAATCAACAACGAAAAATAGACAAGCAATAGTCCTAACACTATACTAATGGCCTGTGCGGCTTTCCGATTGCGCACATTAGATATCCTTCTCAATCGAGCCATTTCCTTTATAGAAGCGCTACAGATTCTTCGCTGGAAGGGGGCGGATACTGGTGGCAAAGGTTGCGAAGCCTTGTAGCAGCTGCGGATTCTTTGCTGGAGCCAGGAAGGCCTGCCTCACGACGGCGATGACAAGTAAGGAGGGCGGCAGCATGCCTGTCTCGTTGGAGTGCTGGAGATAGGAGACAACGATTAGGGATTTTGAAAGAGTTTGGCAGCCAACCCGATATCCACCCTATTCCCTTCTTTTTTTTGTTGTTGTCCGAAGTGCTCAAAACGGCGTCGTTTTGGTTTGGTGGAAGCAGTTTTCTCCTTTGCTTGAAATCGAATGAAATCGGTCCGAAAACGCGATTTTATACGATCTCACCGATTTCACCAATTCTACTAACGCTTTTGACCGATTTTGAGTGAAAAACGATTTTATTAGTGATTTGATTGCACTGAGGAAGACATATCAAATACCAAATAATTAAAATCATGACATGACACAACAATATTGAAAAAACAGAACAAATATATAAGCAGAAGGTGGAACCGCACCAAAAAAGGCAGAGGGTATAACACAACACATAATAATGGAAGAATAAACACATATATAAACAAAGCATTAGAGCAGCAACCCTCTCATCACAAATGGAGGCATTTTTAAGGAGAAAGAATCGCCCAGCCCTTCCTTTGCGGGTTCAAATAGTAGCTTGAGATGGAGTAAATGGACGTTTTGGAGATCCCACAACATGGTCAAAGTTGGACTCACCTGATTAATGGTGTTGCGCCTGTATTGTTGACGAAAAAGACTTCTCCGCTGCTGAGTTCAACTGCTCTTTCTTTCTTCCTTTGCAATGGTCGTTGGAGGCTTGGAGAGCACCTGTGCTTTCTCTCTTGTGAAGCTGACCTAATAATACAAAAGGGATAAGAATAGATAATATAATTTTTCCAGGGCAAAGGTGGAATAAACAAAAATTGCTTGGACAGGGGAGTCGATTTGCACCACGTTTTTTTCTGTCTGTAAAATCGACAATGAACAAAAGACAAGACGATTTTAACGTGGTTCTTCCTCACAGTGTGTGAGGCTTACATCCACGGAAGAGACTATGATTTTATTAGTTTTGCTTAGTTCGGCCATTGACCAAACTTACATATTTATAACCCATATCATCCGTCTCTACTAGGGTTACATTGGCTGTCCAATTACAATTAGGATAGGTGATTTCCGTAGCTTCCTTGGACTCCAAGTTATGCGTGGGCTTCCATGCAACCAAACATGCATGGGCTACAGGAGGAGCCGACGTGGGCTTCTCATGGGAAGTGTCTCGATCCAATACTCCCCCGCAAACTGAGACGTAGAGATCGCGCACGTTCAGTTTGGACAAAAGGAAATGGAAACGATCGGCACCGAGTCCTTTGGTGAAGATATCAGCTAGCTTGAAATCGGTATGAACCTTGACTGGAAGAATGTGACCTGATTGAACACGTTCACGAACAAAATAACAATCCATTTCTACATGCTTAGTCCGTTCATGGAATACTGGATTGTTAGCGATGTGAAGTGCAGCTTGATTATCACAAAATAGTCGAGTTGGTGTGGACTAAGAAACACCAAGCTCTTGAAGCAACCAACGAAGCCAAAGAACCTCACTGACAGTGCTTGCCATGGCGCGGTACTCAGCTTCTGCAGAAGAACGAGCCACAACATTCTGTTTCTTAGTACGCCAAGAAACAGGGGCCCCACCAAGACTGATAAAATACCCAGTGGTAGAACGTCGAGTACTCTGACAACCCCCCCAGTCTGCATCACAATAAGCAGTAAGTTCAAGTGAATTGTTTCTGGGAAAGAACAGGCCTTGGCCAGGCAATGACTTTAAGTAGCGAAGAACGCGGAAAGCAGCATCCAGATGCTTCTGACTAGGAGCATGAACAAACTGACTAAGGATATTCACTGCATAGGTGATGTCGGGACGAGTGACAGTCAAATACAGGAAGCGGCCCACAAGACGACGATAAGAAGATGGATCGGCCAACAGATCATCACACGGCCGAGTCAACTAATGATTCTGATCGATCGGAAAACTGCTGGGGCGAGCCCCTTCTAGACCTGCATCTTCAAGAATGTCCAAGGTGTATTTGCGTTGGTTCAAAGACACACCATCAGCTGTACGAGCAATTTCAATGCCCAGAAAGTAGCG